TTTTTTGCTAAATACACTTCATTCTACAATTGATAGGGTTAAGGATAAATACAAGTTACATCAAACCTTCAGTGTTAACCCTGTCTACCTCAGACATCCCAATTCAGGAGCTGCTGTTGATTTCATGGTAAGTTGGTATTTGAGTTGGTATTTTAAATGGCCTATAAAATGTTCAAAGTGCAAAATTCCTCACACTCCAGAGTGTGCTTATCTTATAGCTGGTCTTATTACATAAAAGCATAAACCAAATTATACTGAGATCCTAATGCAGATTAAATAATAAAATTTTGAAGCAAGCCTTGGTTATGAAAATAAATTATAAAATTGCTTTCAGATATAGAGATTGAAGTACTTTAAGATCTTTACAGAGATGGGGATCCAGTCTTGCACTTTTAGTCAGAAAGGTCATTTCTGTGCATTGTGTTGTGCAATTCCTACTGATGGAATTTTGGCTGGTTTTCTTGTATCTCTGATATGTAATAAAAAAAGAAAAAGGAGTAAGCAATGGAAACACTATACTCTGAAACAGCATTAGAATTAATTATTTTTTTCTTCAGATTAAGGTATTCAGAGGAGAGCTAAGAGGCATTTAAATTTACATCCATCTTACAGCAGATTTCAGTACAGTAAACCAAAAGAATATTCACTGCCAATTGTTTCTGCTATGATCTCATCCTGATCCTGAAAAGAGAATTGTTTTCTTGAAATCAATAGTGCTTTTTACTAGGGTGAGTGTAGAGAAGGGTGGAGAAAAAAATATCAATGAGTCCCTCTTGCGGTTAAGTAGGACCCTGCACGTAATTGCGTAGCTCCCCAGCAGTATTCTTTCATGAGTTTTGTCATTCTTTTCCATGCAGCAGGTGTTACTCCCTCTGGGAGGGTCTACCCTTCCATCAACTCTCACTGTTTATAGTTGATTTGGGAAAACGTTGAGGATGGCACTTAAATATGCAAATTAAAGGAACTGAAGTGAGCACTCAGTCCTAAAGTGTAAATGGACACATCTTAACTAGATAATGGTCTTTAACTGCAAAAAGGTTTTGTTATTAGCTGGTAATTAACTAAAAATTCTAAGTGTATCTAGGCCATAGATTAAGGGGGATAGCCAAAATTTTATTTTTGCAAATAATTGAAAAATAGGTAGACATAATGTTTTTTGATGGCTGTTTCCTAGGTTTAGCAGATTTTCAGTAATAGAAAATTATTTGTATCAAGGGAGATTTCTGACCTGAGTCTGAAGCAACAGACATAGCAGTGTAAGAGAATGCTCCTTTCTGTTGTTTTTGCACTCATTGACAAGCTGTTGTGTTTTCACAGCACTGGCAAATTCCACTGAGTCGTCGATTTCGTTCTTTGAAGCTGTGGTTTGTGATTCGTTCATTTGGGGTGAAAAAGCTTCAAGCTCACGTCCGACATGTATGTGAATTAACAATGCAGACGGAAATGTATTATGTTCATTTATTGGTAGCTGACTTTAATAAAGTCAGTGATGAAAAGATGAGTAATAGAAATCCTCTCACACACAAAGCTTGCGTGTGAACACTACGTGCATGCTGATTTTACTCTTAAGTAATCTGTAAAGATCGACTGTGTAGACAAAACATTTCCTGTACCCTTCTTGGAAGCAATAAGCAATGGAAAGCAGCTCGATAAGTCAATGCTTTCTGCACATTACTGAGTACTAATCTGTAGAAGCTTTCTTTGAGGCAAAGTGGCAGCTGTTTGGGAGGCAGGCTGTGAGGGATGGCTGAACCCATTGCTATGAAAATTTACAGGCTTAAGTCTTTGATGGGATGTAAATACAAGGGATCATATTGTGGGTCAACGGTTGCCGCAAAAGGACTCTAATCTGAGAAGGCACATTCTGTTTTTAAGTATTCTAGAAAATTCCTATGTATAGTCCACTTACTCTTGTTCATTGTCAAGGGTTTGGGCAAATAAGAGACACTTTAAAATTCTTAGCTTTGTTGTCATTCTTCTGTTTGTTACCATTCATGCGTTGGAACAATGTGTTTTCGTAAGGAAAGGAATTCTTTTTAACTACTTAGTGTCTTACAGTGGGTTTGTGACAAACCAATACATAACTACTTTTTCTTCCTTAATTATAGGGTACCGAAACAGCCAAATTCTTTGAATCCTTGGTTAAAAGTGATCCACTCTTTGAAATTCCTGCCAAGAGACATCTTGGACTGGTTGTATTTCGTCTAAAGGTAAAGATTGGGCCTTTTGCATGTCTCTTTGGAATGAACTGACCACAGCTGATTTCTCCTCAGACATTAAGAACTGTGAATAAATTTTCACATAAGAATTTGTAATGCTGTAATTCTTACGGAGATGTTTGGATGTCACTGGGAATTCTAACTACAGGGTTTTGTTTTTTTCTTATTCATATTTAAAACAGGGTCCCAACTGGCTGACAGAAAAACTCCTGAAAGAACTAAGCAGTTCTGGCAGGCTCTTCCTGATTCCAGCAACTATTCATGACAAGTTCATCATTCGCTTTACTGTAACATCTCAGTTCACAACCAGGGAAGATATTCTGCAAGACTGGAACATCATTCAACATACTGCAGCCCAAATTGTTAGCCAGAATTATGCGCTGCACCACATCAATTACGGTGATGGGGCAAGAATCCCTAATATTATAGTTAAGCCTAGTTCTAATGTCATTAGTAATACTTCTCAGCTTTATCTAAATGGAGGAAAATACAAAACACCTTCCAGAAAAACAGTAGTTCAGCCTAAGAAGTTAGCAGTGAGTGCCAGTACATGTGTGATTAGTCAACAAGTGAAAAGTCAAGGGGATCCTCTAGATGACTGTTTTCCAGAAGATGTCCAAGATGTTAACAAACATAAGTTAACCTCTTTTTTATTCAGTTATTTGTCTGTTCAAGGCAAGAAAAAGACAGCACGTTCCCTTAGCTGCAACAGTGTGCCAACAACTGGTAGTCTTGAGCAATGTAACCCCAAAGCAGCAGCCACTGACAAGAAGGAGTCTCATGCAAATGCCAGAATTCTTTCCAGGCTGCCGGAAGAGGTGATGATGTTCAAAAAAAGTGCCTTCAAAAAACTAATTAAGTTCTACAGTGTCCCAAGCTTTCCAGAGTGTAGCATTCAGTGTGGCCTTCAGCTGCCTTGTTGTCCTCTGCAAGCCATTGTTTAACAAGTGAGAGAGATTGGTCCTTAAGACCTCTACAGGTAGAAAGAGAACCAAAGTTTGCTTATTCATATGCAATACTACATGTTATTTTGTTCAATATGTAAGCAGTGGCAATGACCACTGAGAAAACTCCTGTGCTTTTACTGATAGAAACCTCATGTATTATAGATTAAAATGTCAAATAAATCTTGTAGGCATACAACACAAAACTCTGGTTTGTAGACTGTGGTAAAGAAAATGCTAATTTCTGCCTTATCAGTCCTGGTATTGGACAGTTTCTAGCTGCTAGGCTAGAACCATTTTGACAAAGTACACTGGCCTCAGTAGTGGGGTAAACAGCTCTCTATTTGCACCATTGTTTGTTTTTTTTTTTTTTTTTTAAATACCTTGACTTCACTCTCTAGACTGCTGTGAGGATCTGTGTGTGCAGACAATGCCAACATCTACTGAACTGTGCAACCTATCTCTGAGATTTTGCTGTATTAGGGCAATTGTAAAACTCTGTGAGTTTAAAAACACAGCAGCCATGCCATTTCATGTGTGTTAATCAGTTACAGTGCACAGCCAGGCTTTATGCAACCATGTTGCGAGAGCAGCTGCCCTGGCTAAGCACCTGTGGCCTTTCCCAGCATCACCTAAGGTCTGTAAATCACAAGTGCATGAGGAAAGAGAGTAGGAATGATATTTCACCCTTTTTCATAACAGAAAAACTAAGGGACATTGCAGAAGAAAGGGTCTCTATGCAGCAAACTTATTGCTACAAGAGGCCAATGATTTACATATTTTTCAAGAATAATTTAAAAAAAATTGATGGGAGAAAAATCTATCGAGAGGAGCTTTAAATTCAGAGATACTGCTCTTGAGTCAGGAAGCATGATGATTGCTAGGAGATTGTGCTGGGAAAGCACTGCTGGATGCTTGCTGCCTTCTTCATAATTGTTTCCAGACGTCTACTATCACGCCATCCTGAAGGCAGCGTACTTGGCCAGATGGATCTTCAGTCTGACCCAGTACAACTATTCTCAAGTTATATAAACCATCAGTTTGGTTAATCAGAACAATTTCCATCCCTTTAGACAACATCAGCTAAGCTCACAGTGGGGTATAGTGAGGCATGTGTTACAAGTAGTAGTAATATTTGGCCTGCTAGCCCTTTCTAGGAAGAACAGATTTATTCCATTCTGTAATGTTATTTGCCTTTTTTTAGATCCTAGGGAAATTTAAGCCACACTTTATTATGAAGTATCTGGCCTGCCATTCACCCGAAGGAAAATACATCTTTGTTCTTATAAATTGTCCTCATTCTGTGTATGTATTATTTGATGCATAAAAAAATAAGGCGGCATGTCTACTGCAATGGATAAAAGTTAATGTAAGCATCTAATACAGACTTCTTTTTGATTAGAGACACCTGTAAGCTTCATTAATGGTCTTTTTTAATGAGTTTTGTATTTTGAGTTAGGGATGTAATTTTTATTGATGCAGTGGATCACCCTTTAATATGAGTATAAATGTATTTGCATAAAGATGTCTTATATTGTACCCACTTTCACATGCTTAGGTGCACAATATTAACATTCATAGCAGTAATAATACATCCATACACAGTAGAAAGGTAGGTAAGATTCAAAGTATGAAGGAGAGGAGAAGCCAGGCTAAGATACAAGTAGAGTTGCAGAATTTCTGCTTTATTGAAACAATCTCACATTCACAATTTATTTCAGGTACTGATATTTGCTAATATTAATAAATAGCATTTCCTGGCAAGGTTAAAATAGATGCTTTAAAAACTGAATATTATAAAATAGAGATTTTTCTTTTTTTTTTTTTTTTAGCACACTCACAATTTGAAGGCATGTTTTCTTACTGAGTTATAAATCTCCCGGGTCATTTGTACATACAGCTTTTCCTTGTCATCCAGGAAATACAGGCGATCTTTGATGACTGCTGGATTGAAACCCTCCTCCACTAGTTGTACTTTACGGTACTTAAAAGTTGCTGTAAGTTCAATGGCACTCTAAAAAACAAAAGTACATCTCTACTTATCAATGTCAGCATATAATAGTGGGCATTAGATTAGATTTTCTAAATTCAAAGGGAAACATATTTAAAGAAAACCTACACAGCACAGAAGTCAAAGGCTTACTAATAGAGGTCTAAACTATCTGCATTCATCAGATAACTGGATCGTGGAATATGTGGGCCAGTAATTACTCTGAATGTAAGAAGTGCTGAGGCCACAGAAACATTATTGAAAGGCTTAACTTACTATTTTATTTAAATGAGGCAGGAAAACACTAGTTTTCAGCTTTTACTCAGAGAGAATCAAGGGGTTTATCCAGAAATGTATTTAATTATGTTCTTGGATCAAAAAACAGCAGAATTTTTCTCAGAAGAGCAAAGAAAATGGCAGTTGGAGACTGGGCAAGACTCACTGTACTTTACATGGGATGGCAAGACAAACCACTACCTTGGCTGGTCAACTGTTTTGTTTAACTAAACGTTTAACGATTGATTGATTAGACATGTTAGTATCTCTGTGTTAGTCCTCATGAATCATCTCAGTGAATACACAACCTTTCTTAAAGGAGCAATGTTTATTTTAAATAAATAACTTGAGAAGTACGGTGAGAGTGACATTCTTGCAACATTTTCCTAATTCAAGTTTCACTATTTATTCACTGGTAGGATAAAAATTTAAGGCCTCTCTTGCAAAACACAACTCTATTGCAAGCTTTTGTTTGCGTGTAGATTTTTATTTTGCACAGAACAGTCCGTAGAAGGAGCTGCACTAAACAGAGTACACAGCTGTGTTACTGTGTTGAAGGGATCCAACAGGAAATGTGTTTTCCACTAAGAGATCTTCCTGATTTTGTATGTTAAAATGTGCCAGGTATCCTGTAGATGCTCATACAACTTGTTTTTTTCAGGCTGAACTGAAACATCTGGGTGCAGTTCTGCCTTCACATTGGTAAATGACAAGAGCAAGTGAGAGACAAAAGAAGCCTTTTTGAGAATTGCTAGTATAACTAGAAAGTCCGTAGTCCTCATAGAAAAGCGAGAAAACACAATCCAGATGGACACACAAAAGCTACGTAGGAACACTGGTTTACCTTAATCCTTATAAAACGAGGTCTTGCGTAGTTTGGAAGGTGAGTGTTAACGTGCCTGTAAGTATTTTCTCCATTAAATTCACAATCTTCCTTTAGTCGAATACATGCCATTCCTGTTCTGCCTTCATAACCTGAGGGAATAATGACAGCAAAGAATTGTAGTTCATATCTAACTTTGAACTTCAGGCTAACCTTTTTTTTTTTTCTTTCTCCTGTAAGTGAACCCTTCCTTCTAAGCCACTTTAGAAAACATACTAACATATTTTCCTTTAGACATCTTAAGTGATTAGATTTTCTTACGGCTTCAGCATGTTAGAAGCCAAACTCTTTTGAAAGCCTAGCATCAGAATTATAGATGGCAGACATTTTGAAAAAATCATCCTTCTTTCGAAAGTCTTTGGAAAGACTTTGGAAAATTGGGTCTCAGTACTCTGAGGCAGAAGTCTGCCTGCAGCAGCATTTAATTGTGTGGGTTAATTTACTTTACAATAAATCACAGTAAATCTGCTTGTACTTGTTGTGCTGACAAGCTCAGGCGTGCAGAAGGAGGACAGAAAGGAATAAAGACCCAGTTTACCATTGTTTATTACCATATGAATGATAAATTAAGCACTGCAAAAATCTAAGTGCTTCAGATTTTTTTACTTGTTTAACATACTGAGAGGGCTTCTTCCCTCTCCTTTTGGTGGCTGAGGGATGGAACACCATTTTAACACAAACCTTTGGTGTTCCTTTTGTCTTCTGGGATTACATGTAATGCAAGATGAAATATGTAATATTCTTATACGAAGTTTTACATGAGAACCATATGAATGCTTTCACAGAATTGTGTACAGGAGGAGGTGACAAAAGTAGCATCTAATGCTTACAGAAAAGTAGAGCACAAGCACATGCTAATTTAAGATTTAATTGTTCTTTAGTTTCTTTTGAGTCTTGTTTCTGTTTGCCTTTAACACTATATACTGATGACACCTGGCATTCCAACTTGTTTATTCAAAATCTAGAGTGTTGAATTAATGAGTTCTCAGGTGATGTGTACTATCACCCCCAGCTGCATTACTCAAGTACAAGTATTTCTGTGCCATGTAAAAACCGAAAACAAAATTACACAATCCACCCAGTTCTTACACAAATCCAAGGTGAGAACTGGTTTGAACAGTATTTTTTTTCCATAAAGTTGATCTATAATTAGGTATTAACACCTCTTCTGTGTGGTTTTACAAGAGCATTGAGAATAAGAGCGTATCTTCCTCGTTTCCTGGAGTGTAATTTGAGAAATACATAAAGAACTCTACACCATTTAAGTTGTTACCTTTCTTTTGAAATGTCTCCTAGGGCAGCTGTGTGTTTATCCCTATCCCAAAGCAAATGAAAACAAGAGTGATTTAAAGAGAGAGGCTTTAATTTTAGATTAATAGGTAGAGACATGCATAATTAATAAACAGTTTCTTCATTTGAATTAAATTCACTATTCTGATAAACATTTTGGTTTATAAAACAGCCTTGTTATTCTAGCCTCAGAAACACTGGGCATTTCTAGTCTCATGTCTTCCACTAGAGGAAACAGTGAGTGGATCTTAACATTAACAGAATCTTGCACATGTTGAATGGTGGAAGGAAGTGGCGGATGTAGGAAGAGCAGTATCTCTTAACACACCTTTCCATTCCAAAATACTAAATTGTCACTGAAGTGACCCATGTTATGATATACTGCAGTTTGGAAGCCTTTCTGGAAAATTGTGATACCTGCTAAATATATCTATATCTATCTTTCTATCTATATCTATAAATATATATATAAATGTGTTATAGCTGTTAATGTATCTGTTAACCTAGTTAATAGGGGATCCAAAATTCCTCCTCCTCCTTAGACTACTCTAAGGGCATACAATGTATTATGCCACCTAATCCAAACCACTTGTGCAATGCCATACTGGGGATTTCAATCAAATCTAACCTTGTTTGTTTGATTTCAGATCCCTACATTACGCTCTAAGAATGGGTTTAATTTTAACTGTCCATCACAACCAAATTCAGTGAGGAGCTAGATGGGAGCCCTGCAGATCTTGGGTAAGTAAGAAACATGGATGGGAAGGTACGTCCAAAATACAGGAGACAAGAAGGGAGAGTAAAGCTATCTGTTCCCTCTTTTGTCTTCCAATATGTCTGAGAATCTGCCTTTAGCAGTGGTGCCTCTCAATTTAGGAAGAAAAAAAAAAAAGAAAAAAGCTGCTAAAAGCACTTAAAGAGTTTATAAAAGTTCAAAGATTTCACAGATTTTTGAGAAGTATAGAAAAAAAGGTAGTAAACATGTCAGAACTTCTTGCATTCCTTCAGATTGTTAAAGAAAGGTGAAAAAGGGAAGAATCAATTTCTTAAGTGATGTTCTTCTAGAAAGTCAAGTTTATTTTGTTTGTCCCACTCTACAGTAATTGCAGAGCTATATTTCTGTAAAAGATACAACAATGTTTATATCCAAGATACTTAATGGAATGTTTGTCCATTCTCCTATTAGTATTCTTTTTGTACTACATTCATATAAGCTTTGGGTGTGTTTTCTTAGCTAATTAATATTGCATACATTTAAATGATGGAATGTATCAAATGTAGCTCACAAAAAATAAGCTGAAGTAGAGCTACATATACTCTGCAGTTCAGTACAGTGATATTTTGTTAGTATATTAAAAAATTCTTTTTTCTAAATACTTCAAGTATTTCACTCATACCTGGAACTGATACTCCATATACAATAACTTCTTGAACACAGTCAATCAGTCCTAAAACATCTGCAACCTCCGTGGTAGAAACGTTTTCCCCTTTCCACCTGGAAAATAAACAGCCTACAGTCATGATGTCTATGTGTAATACATGTAGTGATCTCCAGTGTTTCAATGTCTGACTTTATAATGGGCTGAACACTGAGCTTGAGACCAGAAAGCACTTTTGCACTAGAACAAGGAGCTTGTTATCAGAAGTAGAGAAAAATATGCCGCAAAATTCAACAATGCATTTCAGCTTATTCAAATCTCAGAAGACTTTAACACAGTTAGTTTAATCATGCTTAAAATGGCTCTAAACAAACAAAACCCCAAAATATTACTTAGCTTAGATTCCATCCTAGGCTCTATGCTTTCTGAGTTTTAAAAGCACAGTGAATGTGAAACCACAATGTTTTTGTTCTATGAATGTGACTGGTTTCTGACTGTTCAAAATAGCATTCATTCATCACCCTAAACTGAAACTGTTGTGGGCTCTGTATGTAACTGTACACACAATTGATTGAGGTGACTTGGAGTCCTCTCTTTTTCTGACTGAAGTCAGAGGAATTCCTCTTTGTCAGTCAGTAGGAAATACTGGATGGGAATTCAAACCTGAAAATGAGTAAGAATTTTTTCATGTGACAAACATTTAAATAAATAAACTAACCGGAATGTGTCTCCAGTTCGATCATGGAAATAAATGAAGTTATCATTGTCAATCATTAAAAGGTCACCGCTATTAAAATATAAATCCCCTTTTTGGAAGACATCTCTTAATTGCTTCTTCTCTGTTTGCTGTTTTGCTCCTGCATAGCCACTAAATGGTGCATATTGGGTGATTTTGCAGATCAGTAGTCCGGGTTTACCTATGAAGAGGAAATACATTTGCTCTTTGTTTAAAAAACACAGTGTAAATTGCCAAAAAATCCTAGTTTTCATTACATCAGTGAAGTTTGCAGATGTTATAGAGTTATTTAAGAATTTTGTCATAATCGTCTTTCAAAATCACTTGTGGAGGTCCAGACTGAGTTTTACCTTGTCCTCTCAATTCACTAGCCCTCAGAAATGCCAGTAGATAATACAATTTATCACCTGCTTATATTAATGCAGCAGAACAGAATCTCTGAGGTCTTGTCTGGTTAGTGGAAAATAGTTGCCCGGTTTCTCTAGACAGCTTCATCAACCTGATTAAAACACCTGACTCAATAGGAGCTGTGTCTACAAAGGAAACTTTTACACATGGCATCAGACGTGTCTTTAGAAGGTGACCACTGATTACTTCCACATAACTCAGCTGGCATGGGGCAGCCCTACTTCTCGATTGAAAGATTCAGCTGGATTTAGGAACCAGATATTTGGGTTCAGCTTTCCTTTTGAATGCAAAATAGACCAAAAGGCTGCTTAGTATGTTCTTTAGTCTTTCATGTGCTAGAGCTGGAGTAATTTATGAAGGGAGCAGGAACACCTATATGTTTATATAAATTGAAACTCAACTCCTTGTTATATAGAGCTTTGCACGGATGTTACATACTGGAGTGAATTTTATCTCTATACAATATAAATTACAGTCTGTCCTCATCAAGCCTGGAAGTGTTTAAGACCAGGTTGGATGAGGCTTTGGGCAACGTAGTCTAGTGGAGGGTGTCCCTGCCCGCAGCGGGGGGTTGGAACTAGATGATCTTTAAGGTCCCTTCCAACCCAAACCATTCTATGATTCTATGATTTACATTTTTCATGGGTTTCTCTCTTACATTGTAGATATTTTGCACGTCTCTGCAGTTCAACAACTTAAACATTGGGTGCATTTATGTAAATATGGAATACATGTGTGCACATCCCTTCATATCCCAACTCAAGAGACTGTATAGGGACAGTTGGCATAGGAGAGTTTGCCTATAGAGAAGACACTCTTAAGATAACTGGTATATTTCTCAGCAATGAGAATTTAACACAGTTGGTAACACGTCCACCTCCTCCCTTATGCGCAGAGAAGGTGAGCATTTCTGTCCTCACAGTAAGGACTGTACACATGACAGAATGCAACAAAATCAAAAGTATCACAAGTATCTGGTTTAAACACAGTTTTGCCTATGCCAATACATAAACCCCTCCTATAAAAACTGATATCAAGATATATTATAAAAGAAGTATTTTCATGTGTGCTTTCTCTATTGCCAATGGCAAAAAGTTTCAGCCACTGCTGGAGAAAACTGCTTTCTATTTCGCAAATGTTTCTTTAGTGGCGTGTTAAGTACAAAGTCTGGGAAGGATTAAATAGCTCCTGCTGA